AAGGTGACTTAAGCCCAAGCTGAATCACTCTCTATATAATATTTTATGCATTTTTAAACATCTGGATCACTTGAATATGAATTGAGAATAATGTTGAAGATGATAGCTAGCATGTTATATGTCACTGTAAGGTTTACAAAGCAAATATTTTGTCATTTTTATCCTCACAACAACCTGGGAAGTCAGGTGCTATTATTGGTCAAGGAACACGACTCCAGTCACAGCCAGTGAGTGTCAAAGGCAGGATTCAAACTCAGGTCTTCCTGACTCCAAGGCCAGCACTGTACCACCTCCCTCCCTCCCTTTAGGACCATGATTCCAACCCAATTGACCTTGTGTTCAGCTGTTGCAGATTTCATCATTGGCCCTAGATCTAGCTTCTGGTCTCTAGCAGTGGGGAATTAATGAGTCATTACAGAGAAAGCCTAACCTCTAGATGGTTTTTCTCACTGCCCAGGAATGTCCCTTGAGGACAAATTCCTTGTGCCTTTTTCCCTTCTTCTAATCTATTTAGGGCTCATACCTTAAGCAGGAGAAATACATAGAGGTACCTGGATCTTGGTGGAATGGTGACTACCCAAGGTGCAATGCAGATACACTTTTGTCTTCTCTTATAAACAAAACAAGCTGATGGGGGGGTGGAGCCAAGATGGAGGAGTGAAAGCAGTGACTTGCTTGAGCTCTCCCCCAAACCCCTGCAAATACCTATTAAAAAATGGTTCTAAACAAATTCTAAAGCAGCAGAACCCACAAAAAGAGAGAGTGAAACAAATTTCCAGGCCAAGATAACCTGGATGGTTGATCCGAAAGGTTTATCGTGCCGGGCAGGGAGAGGAGCGCAGCTCTGTGTGGGTGTGCAGGCTGCAGTGACCCTGGAGCAGGCCTCAGAGGACTGAATCATGGGCAGCTGTGGCAGTTTCCAGACTTCTCAACCCAGGAAGGCCAAAGACAACTTAGAAGGTCAGTGGGAAAAGTCTGTGACTGTGTTGAGAGAAGAAGCTAGGTCTCAGTCGCAAGTCCCTAGCGCGGCAGAGGCTGCCTCCTGAGCTTCTGGCCCACAGCCTGAGGGGGAGTCGAGTGGCTAATCAGAAGGGGATTGGAGGGATCTCTTTGCCAGTGCTGAAGCAGGAATCTCTTGCTTTGCCCGTGCTTGGATCTGGGTCACAGTTCTGAGGGGCAGTCCTGGGGCGAGGAGGAGTGCTGGTGTGGTGGAGCTTGTGGTGGTGGTGGAGAGGAAACACCTCACCCCTTATCATAGCACCTTGGAAGAACTGAAAATTTACAGGTCCCTAGAAGTATCTCTGAAAACAGCTGTACAAACCCCTGAAGCTTGGGACAGTACATTCTCCACATTGGAAGCAGACTCTTACCTTAACAAAGAGTTTAAAACTCAAGTGATTGGCTGGGATCATGAGTAAGGAGAGCAAAAAGAGTCAGACTGTATTATCTTACTTTGGTGACAAAGAAGATCAAAACAAACAACCAGAAGAAGACAACAAAGTCAAAACTCCTACATCCAAAGCCTCTAAGAAAAATATGAATCAGTCCCAGGCCTTGGAAGAGCTCAAAAGGGATTTTGAGAAGCAAGTAAGAGAAGTAGAGGAAAAACTGGGAAGAGAAATAAGAAAGATGCAAGAAAATCATGAAAAACAAGTCAATAGCTTTGCTAAAGGAGACCCAAAAAAATACTGAAGAAAATAACACCTTAAAAAATAGACTAACCCAAATGGCAAAAGAGGTCCAAAAAGTCAATGAGGAGAAGAATGCCCTAAAAAGCAAAATTGGTCAAATGGAAAAGGAAGTCCAAAAGATTACTGAAGAAAATACTTCCTTAAACATTAGAATAGAGCAATTGGAAGCTAGTGACCTTATGAGAAATCAAGACACTGTAAAACAAATCCAAAAGAATGAAAAATTAGAAAACAATGTGAAGTGTCTCATTGGAAAGACAACTGACCTGGAAAATAGATCTGGGAGAGAGAATTTAAAAGTTATTGGACTATCTGAAAGCCATGATCAAAAAAAGAGCCTAGACATCTTCTTTCAAGAAATCATCAAGGAAAACTGCCCTGGTATTTTAGAACCAGAGGGCAAAATAGAAATGGAAAGAATCCACCAATCTTCTCCTGAAAGAGATCCCCAAAGGAAAACTCCTAGGAATATTGTAGCTAAATTCCAGAGTTCCCAGGTCAAGGAGAAAATATTATAAGCAACCATAAAGAAACAATTCAAGTATTGTGGAAACACAATCAGGATTACACAAGATTTAGCAGCTTCTACACTAAGGGCCTGCAGGGCATGGAATATAATATTCCGGAGGGCAAAGGAGATAGGATTACAACCAAGAATCACCTACCCAGCAAAACTGAGTATAATTGTTCAGGAGAAAAAATGGTCATTCTGTGAAATAGAGGACTTTCAAGCATTCTTGATGAAAAGATCAGAGCTGAATAGAAAATTTGACTTTCAAATACAAGTCTCAAGTGGAATAGAAGAGGTAAACAGGAAAGAGAAATCATAAGAGACTTATTAAGGTTGAACTGTTTACATTCCTGCATGGAAAGATGATATTTGTAACTCATGAGACCTTTGTGAGTATTAGGGTAGTTGGAGGGAAAAAATTATATGTATGTATATATATATATATATACATACATATAGATAGATAGATAGATAGATAGATATAGATATAGATAGACAGATAGATAGATAGATAGATGGCACAGGGTGAGTTGATGATGAAAGGGTCATATCTGGAGAATAAAATTAAGGGGTGAGAGAGGATTATACTAGGAGAAAGAGAAAGGGAGAGGTAGAATAGGGTAAACCATCTCAAAAGAAAAAAAACAGAAAAGAAAAGGCTTTTACAGTGGAGGGGAAATGGGGAAGGTGAGAGGGAATGAGTGAATCTTATTCTCATAGGATTTGACTTAAGGAAGGAATAACATACACATTCAATTGGGTATGGAAATATGTCTTACCCTACAGGAAGATAGGGGGAGAAGGGGACAAGAGAGCAGGGGAATGATAGAGAGAGGGCAGATTGGGAAAGGGGGTAATCAGAGGCAAACACTTGTGAGGAGGGACAGGGTCAAAAGAAAGAATGGAATAAATGGGGGAAGGACAGGATAGGATTAAGGGAAATAGAGTTAGTTTTTCACAGCATGTCTACTATGGAAGTGTTTCGCATAATTGCACATGTATAACCTATATGGGGTTGCTTGCCTTTTCAATGAGGGTGGGTGGGAAGAGAGGAAGGGAGAAAATTTGGGACCCAAAGTTTTTAAAACACATTTAAAAAAAAGTTTTCACATGCAACTGGGAAATAAGAAATACAAGAAATGGGGTACAAAAGTCCATCCTGCCCTACAGGAAAATAGAAGGGGAAGAGGACAAGAGAAGTGGGGGGCGGAGATAGAAGGGAAGGCAGACTTGGGGAAGGGGTATTCAGAATGCATGCCATCTTGGGGTGGGTGGAGGGGCAAGATGGGGTGAAAATTTGGAACTCAAAATCTTGTGGAAGTAAATGTTGAAAACTAAAAATAAATAAATTTATTAATAACCCCCACCAAAAAAACCCCAAGCTGATGGAGAAAGGGTTTCATGAGAAAGATGAAGAGATGAAGGGACAGATGGAGGGCTTACAAACAAGCATTAAGTCTGTTGAGAGTACAGTTGCCAACGGGTGGTCCCCTATTTTAGATGCTGTTAGAAGTGGATTTGGGGTCCTATTAGCCAGTGTAGGACAATGGCTTTAGGCCATTTACTGTTATAATCAAATGAGTTTTAGTTTCTCAGAAGAAAGTTATAGAATATAGTTATTCTACCTAAAAAATGGCACTCAGACCTCCCTATATGTGTGTCTGAGTGTGTGTGTGTGTGTGTGTGTGTGTGTTTGTGTGTGCTTTTTCTGCTTCTAATTCACCCAAGTATTAAAAAGTAAAGCTGATGTTCACCAGGCAGGATATGACTCTAAATATGTTTTAGATGATGGAAGACAAGTCCCTTGGCCTTGCTTCAGAGATGACAATACATAAATTTGTCCCTGTGCTTCTCCATGATTCTCTCAGGTGAGAAATCTTTGTCCATTGATTTTGTCTGGTATTGTTATTGTTGCTTTGTTTTCAGTTGTTTCAGTCACGTCTAACTCTTTGTGACGCTATTTGGGATTTTCTTGGCAAAGGTACTAGAGTGGCTTGCTATTTCCTTTTCCAGCTCATTTTACAGATGAAAAAAACTGAGGCAAATAGGGTTAAGTAACTTGCCTAGCGTCACACAGCTAGTAAGTGTCTGAGGCCAGATTTAACCTCAGAAAAATGAGTCTTCCTGACTCCAGGTTTAGCACTCTATGCACTACTCATCCTAGCTACCCTTGGTCTGATACACATGGCATTAAATTAAATGCCAGCAGAAAAGAGGTTTTGACATGTGTAATTGAAAAGGATTATGGACTGTGCAGTACTTTCACTTTAGGTTTGGACCTTGAGACACAATGACACGCACTCGATAAGAAGTTAACAAGTAATTGGGTTTATTTGATAATGCTTAAGGCGGTAGAGAAATAGGAATAAAAATAATGTACATATGCATACGATCCAGTGAATGATAATCAAAATAGAACAAAGAATAGAAATAAAACAAAGAAAGAATAAAAGTCAACAGAGTGGGCATCCCCATCTCTGAAGCAAAGACCTCCAAAAGTCCCTTTCCCAAATGCCCCTTTTTATATCTATGTAAACCACGGGAAAACAACCTTAGAACAAAGATGTAACTTGGCCAAAGCTCCAGATGCCTATTTTTTATGTACGTATCCAAGGACAGACTAGATCCTTCAGCACGTACATGTTTTCCTTGAGATAAGAGTTGTTCCGCCCTGGTAACATAGTTTGTTCTCTGACACTCTGTTCCCTTGGAGCTCCCAGTCACGCATACTAACTTTAAATTACATTCCTTATGTCAGGTCGTGAGGCGGTCATGAGAGGGGCTGGGGAGGATCTCCTCAGTTTCCCTTACAACATGTTAACATTTATTTAATGCCAAAAATCAGGGATACTCTATCGACCTAGTGAAGTGACCTGGGTCACCTACCTAAAGAATTTGCACTATAAGACCTTGGCCTCTCTGTTTCTCTTGGTAGGTACAAATGACATGTAAGTTCTTTTTGAGATTGGCATTAGAAAATACTTCTGTTGAAGACCTCACATCTGAGGAATAATTAGGCATTTGCCTCATTTCTCATACACTACACTCACATACCTGCTTTAGTCTCCCATTCTAGATTTAGAGAGTTAGAAATAGCAAGAGTTGCTTTTGGTTTCAATTTCTCTTGTCCCTCCCACCCTTTCTGTCTTACTATAAATAACAGAATTACTTTGAAAAGCAACAGAAAGAAGAGAGGAGAGGAAAGACCAAATAAGGGAAGAGCTGAGAGAAAGAGAGAACTTGTGAAAGCATTTATAAACAACTTGGCTTGAAGCCTTCTTGAAAAGGTATGGATTATTTTCAAGTTATCTCTTATTTTCACTTCATCTTTTCTCACTAGTAGAAGTAGAGATGAAATGTTATGTGTCTACAGGCAAGGCACGGGACCACACGATGTCTTGAGGTCTCCTAGAGATGTGGAATCAATGATTCTCAGCCTAGTGGAGTGGAAACCACACTAGAATTGGATTTCAGGCATGTAGGGCCGGGTTCTCTATCATCTGGACAATCTCAATGGCAGAGGCATTTGTTCTTGCTGGGAGAAGACAGAATCTATAAGGTTTGCAAAGGCCCCGGAGTCTACATCAGCTGGGAATTGTACTGCTGAGGAGCAGGGCAGTGTGAGTTCCCAGAATACTCTGGGTGGACTGTAGCTGTCAGCCTGGAGACAGGTGTAGAGGGAGTGAGGCGCATCCTCTTTACCCCCAGTGCTGGATGGACCCCTGTGAGGATGGCCCTGCTCCTTCCTGGGTGGTGCTTGGGGCATGGGCAGCAGGGACGGCCCTCGCCCTGGGCCCCTTGGGCTCTGTGGGCTCGCTGCTGTTCAGCAGGCTGCTAGGAGAATTCTGGGAGGATTGCCAGGACTTTGCTCCTTCCAAAGGTTGGATTCTATACGGGGACGCTGCTGCTTGAGCAAGAGTTGTTGTTGCTGTTTTTGTGGTTGTTGTTGTTGTTGAGTTGTTCATTCTTCATGACCCCATAGACCAGTTGTCCATAGGGTTTTCTTGGCAAAGATACTAGAGTGGTTTACCATTTCCTTCTCCAATGGATCATCTCTTAACCGCCAGTGCTCAATACCACCACCACAAGACAGTAATAAGTCAATAGCAGCAGTTCAAGCTGAACCTTAAAAGAATGAGTAGGAAAAGCACAAAGAGGAGTAACTCTAGCTGGCATCTGAATTATCCTTTAAGGTTCACTAAGTGCTTTAGAGGAATCATCTCATTTAGGCCACACAATAACCCAGTGAAGTAGGCACTTTGCTATTGTGCCCATTGCACAGAAGAGGAACCTGAGGTGCAGAGACCTTAAGTCCATGGTCACCCAGCTGGGAGGTGTGGCTGACAGGATGAGAGCCCAGCTCTTCCTGACTCCAGGTCCAGCCCTATATCCAACTTGCCACATGGCCTCACCAAGTCCCATGTTAGGGAACGGCATATCTTGCCACTTTTTGTTGTCCTCTCTTGACCCAGAATATCCAGATGTTAGCTATTTCCAATCCAACAGAAATGGGGAAAGTCTCCTTGCATTGCTCTAAATTATCTAATAGGCACTATATCTTATGAGGTTGGGGTTGATATGGAGGACAGCCTATCCTCCAGGTGTGACACAGTGAAGGCTGACTTGGCCTAAGCTGTAGAATTCTCCAGGAGTAAAGATCCACAGGCTCTCTATCTACATTGGACTAGAAACCCAGGGAAAACATCTACACACCAGGCAGAAAGAATCCCTGATGACCCTGGGAGGCAGAGAGGGTGACTGTCCCCGCTCCTGGCCTCATTTCCTGGCTCCCAGAAAGGACTGTAATGTTCTTTACAACTGAACTAGTTCTGTAAGGGTTGTTTTCAGCTGGGGCTCAAGGCCTAGGGTCTAGCTGCACTACACCAGAGTCCTCACCTGCAGGGATTGAGGGTGGCCAGAGTCTCAGGCATTGTCAGAGCAGCCACTGAGGGGCTGGTTCTGTATTTCTTTAATGAGGTCAGAATTTGGTATCTTTGTTGTCTATTGAAGAATTGGGTGACTTCCACCCAAAATGATTAGTTTGATTGTCTTTTTTGGGGGGGGAGTAAGGATCTAAAGTTTCATTTGTGCAATAGTCTCCTAGGGATGAAATTCCCTCTACCCATGTAGGGCTACAACTATTCTGCAATTTATAATCTTATAAAGTTAGCCATGGGCCATCAGCAGGTTAAGTGATTTGCCTAGGGTCACAAATTCAGGTTGTTTCAGAGACAATATTTAATCTATGTCTTTTTGACTCCCAGACCAGCTCTTTATCCACTCTGCCACGATGCCAATGATTAAGAACAGTGCCATGCCACAGTCAAATCAAAGAGCTCCTTGGTGTCCACACATTAAGAGCAAAAAGCAGGAGTCAGGAAACAGAATTTGAAGCAGTAATCAGAAACTTCAGGGTAGGTGGGGGAAGGGAGGGGTGGACAGAAATCATCCCAAAGTCGTGGCTGGTACCAGGCACTAATAGAAAACTATTTATCTCAAAGGATTTGCCCTAGACACTGTCCCATATTATCCCTCTCTCACACCAATGCGTGGCCATGGCCACTGTGAACGTGGACCAACATAATGCAAAGGAACATGATTATTGCATTAGGTAGAAACTTCCAGGATGGGACTTTCAAAGATTGGAACATTTTTCCTATGTGACAGCCACAGGAATCAAGAATGAAGTGACAGAAGAGCTGGTCAAGACAGTTTAGCGATGCAGTGGATAGAGAGCTGGGCCAGGAGTCAAGAAGACTTATTTTTAAACCCTAGAAATTGCCTCAGTTTCCTCATCTGTAATATTGGGAAAAATAATTATACTTACCTCCTAGATTTGTTATGAGGATAAGATAATATTTGTAAAGTGCTTTGTTACTCTTAAAGCACCATGTAAAAGTAATTATTATCATTGGCATTAGTATCATCAACATTATTACCTGCCGTTGCCAGTTCTGGCAGGAGCAGAATTCCACAAGCACAGAGCATCCTCTCTTGTGCTGTTACTAATATCCCACTCATTTAGGCAGTCTCAGTTGAGGACTGTGTGAATTCTGCACCTTCACTTCTGTCTAAGGGGCTCCTTTGCATTTACAGGTGACCATGGCATCAGCAGAGCCCATGGAGGCCCCCATATGTCTGGTAGAAAACAAGAATGAAGAGCTGATGGTAAACCAGCAAGCCCTACGGATTCTTAGTTCCATTAGCAATCCAGTGATGGTGGTAGCTATTGCTGGCCTGTACCGTACTGGAAAATCCTACCTGATGAACAGACTGGCAGGAAAGAACACAGGTAAGTGGAGTACTAGTCTCCAGGAGCCTAATTTCGGAGGTTATCATGCCACAGTGTTAGAGTTGGTACAAGTTATGTATGAGACCTAATGAAGGTTTAAAAATTGGCCCCTGGTTTACTGTTGCTTTCTAGTCAGTCAACGAGTATTTATTAAGTGCCTACTATGTGCTAGAAACTCTGCTAAGTGCTGAAGATACAAAGAAAGGAAAACTCAATCCCTGCTCTCAATGAATTCACAGTCTAATGGGGGAGACAACATGCAAACAACTGTGTACAAATGAGATCTATACAAGATGCATTGGAGATAATCATTAGAGGAAAGGCACTAGCATTAAATGGATCCAGAGAAGTTTCTCACTTAAGTTTAGCTGAGAATTGAAGGAAAATAGGGAGGCCAAAAAACAGAGGTGAGGGGGGGGGAGAATTCCAAGTGGGAGAGACTGAGTCAGGAGATGGAGTGTCCACCAGGGCTTAGATCTTACACTGTGATACTTGTAAATTAAATCACTCCACAACAAATATCTTCATGACATAGAGACCCAAAGGCTCTAGTATTAAGCATGTTTGCAATTCTTTAAAAATTAAAGTGTCCTGTCCCTGCTTGCTGTCCCCTGGCTGCCTGTCTCCTAGTGGCTGTGTCTCTTACCTCTTGCTAGCCCTGCATCCCCTCAGGATTATCGCCTCTACTCTACATTATGTCAGTCTGAGAATGCGGTTGTCACTTACTCCTGTGAGTAATCAGAGCAGCCAGATCACAAAAGGAAGCATTTTCATCATACTGAGTGTTCTCATGGGATCATCTACACAGAGCTGGAAGGGAACACAGAGGACATCTAATTCAGCCTCCTCTTTATACCATTGAGGAAACTGAGCCCCAGAGAGGCATAGTGATTTGACCCGTGTCACACAGATTATAAATAATAGGGACAAAATTTGAACCCAGATCCTCTTATGCTAGAGTCACGTCTTTCTACAGTATACCACATTGTGCCTTGTGTTCTGAAATGTATTTATAATCGACTTTATTGGATGCTATGTGCAAAGTAAGCCCTGAACAACATCAACAAGTTTAACCTTTAGGGTTAGAGGTCAAAGGTGCTCCTGTTCCTAGAGGTTTGGGGAGAAAGAATTTGAGCTCTCTCTACCAAGGTCTGATAGGAGGTAATGATCAAGATGGACGTGATGATTTGATACTCCTGGCATATCTTGACTTCTGCTCAGGATGTCTAACAGATGCACCGAGGCTGGATTTCCAATCCTGTGAGGGGCAGTTGGTCAACAATTTTGTTAGTAGCAATAAGGATGAAGGGCCTCTTCTCTCTGGGGAGAGAGTTGAATTGCTGGATTCACTGGCCAGACTGTCAGGAGGTCTAATGGTCTGGGGCATACTGCTGTTCACAGGCCTCCTTGGCTTACTTGCCCAAATGTGATAGATGGTCAGCAATTGGTGGTTGTGGTAGCTAGGGCTATAGCCTCCCCGCCCCCATCATTTCATCTTGAAACATGACAAAATCCCTGAGTTCCAGGAAACTTTCCCAGTACCTCACATCCCTCTAAAATATCTCATGTTGTGTGTAAAAACCTTTCACTGGTGTCTCCACACAATGAGTAGGCATCCCCAACCAGCATCCTTTCTAAGGATTCAAGCCTACAATAGCTAGGTACTTCTAGTGTTCACACTCAAATCCAACAAATAATTGTACAAGACTCCTCTAGGCTCACCCCTGCTTTTCTACTGGAAAAAGTCAGGGTAAACTTGGCCACCCAATGAGTACAGAAACTATAGACCTCAAACAATAACAATGTTTTAAAACAATGCAAATAATAGTAATAAAATAAATATCAACAAACCAATACCTATCAAAAGTTAAATGAAAGAAAACAGTAAAAAGAAAGATAATTTTCCTCAAGAGGGAAGCATTTGGGGTTACAAAGTAGTCAAGGAGAAGTACTACCTTTCTGCAGACTTGTGGTTTATGGGCATTCTGGACAAGCCCTCAAAGTGTGTAGAAAGTTGGACCTGGAGTCACAACCTAAGTTTAATTGACTGCCTCACAGTGTGATCCTGGGCAAGTCACTTGATCTTGGTTTGCCTCATCTTCCTCAACTGTAAAATGGGTATAACAAGAGTATCTATGCCGTAGGGCTGTTATCAGAATCAAATGAAATATTTGTGAATTCCTTAGCACAGTGCCTGGTATACTGTAGGCATTTAATAAATGCCTGTTTCCTTTGCTTCCATCTCCTTATTAGAGAAAGATATTGTTAGTTCATGCAAGAACAGAGTCAGAATAAAACTGAAGCTGACTTGATTCTGAGGTATCATCTCATTGTTGTACTGTGTGTGTGTGTGTGTGTGTGTGTGTGTGCATTACTGTCCTGTGACTCCTGCAGTACAGACTTTACTTCTCATGTAGATCAGCTCTTTCTCTGTCACTTCAGGTCTTAGAAAGTTTCCTGGGGGCTGGGTGGGGGAGGGCTCATAGAGATTCAATGACTTGCCCAGGGTCCCACAGCTGTCCTGTGTCCTTCCTTGCTCTCTCCCAGCACTCCCATGATGCTCTCCTCTGGGCTGCTCTTCATTCTCTAAGCTCAGGTTTCTGGAGTTGGTCTAAACTTTTTGGAGCCTTGGGTGTGGCTAATACTGTTAAGAAAGATGATATCTCCAGGCACACCTGAAACTCTCATTGAACTTGTTTGCCACCTTTACCATAGATCTTAAATCCCAAGTCTAATCCCACAGTGTGGACAGAATGCATGCATTCCTCCATTCCTAGCTGCTGATATTGGATAATGTGGGAACCAGGAGGACCTGAGTGTGAAAGTTGCCTCAGCTGCTCAGTGGCTGTGTGACCCAGGCCTAGTAATTTACCTCCCTCAGTCTCAGTTTCCTTCTCTGTGAAATGGAGATAAAAGAAACACCTAGTTCACAGCATTACTGTGAAGGCAGAAGGAGAGAACACACATAAAACGTGCTTGCACAAATGCTAACTATGATCCTCGTTCTCATTCTTTCCCCACTGGGGAGCTCCCCATCTTCTCCCTTTAGGACCTAGGAGTTTGGTTGCTGCAGTCTCTGGGCTCCCTGCCTCCCTGGGACCTCATGTCTCAACCTTCCCTTGCAGGCTTCTCCCTTGGCTCCACCGTGCAGTCTCACACAAAGGGCATCTGGATGTGGTGCGTCCCTCACCCCAGCAAACCAGACCATGCCTTAGTTCTGCTTGATACTGAGGGCCTTGGAGACGTGGAAAAGGTAAATCAAATCAATGAAGTTCTGCTTACTCAATTCTCCTCCCTGTCTCTGCCTGACCTAAGAAGGATTGATCTCTTGCACTCATAGATAAGCAGGCCTGTTGACATAATCTGTTTTGTAGGGTGACTCCAAGAATGACTCCTGGATCTTCGCCCTGGCCATCCTGCTGAGCAGCACTTTTGTCTACAACAGCGTGAGCACCATCAACCACCAGGCCTTGGAGCAGATGCAGTATCCTTTCAGAACTTCAGAACATCCATGACAGAATCAATGCAGTTGTTTTCTGACCAGGACAGATGACAAGCTCTCCATACTTTAGGAGCTGTCATCTTGAGTTATTTTGCCCAGAAATACATGTCTCTAGGTGGCCAACTTTTGGGGGTCAATGTTCCCAACCAAGACTAGCTGATCCTCACATGACAGTCTGGCACTAGGTCCACACATGGAGCTTTGGGTGGACCTTGGTTGAGCTCCCCTTTGTACATAAGTATTACACTTCCATGTTCAAGAATTCTGAAATATCTCGGTCATCCCATCTCTCTCTCTGCCTTATCACTGCCAAGCCTCTTCTTCTCCCCTCTTCTTCATCTCACATCACTCCTATGTGTTTCTCTACATCCCATCCTTCACTTCGTTCTCACATTAAGAGTTGGCCCCTTTCTTTGCCAAAGCAAACCCCTTACATGCTCCATTGATTCCATCTCATCCTGTCTTTTCTAACAAGTTATCCTTTGTATCATTCTCACTCTTTCACTAATCTTCAATCTCTCCCTATCTATTGGCTGCTTCTCTATTGCCTACACAGTATATTTCACTTTGCATCACCCCATGCAAGTCTTTCCAGATTTTTAGGAGAGTATCCAACTCATCATTTCTTATAGTACAATAGTATTCCACCATAATCACATACCACAACTTATTTAGCCATCAACTTCTAATTCTTTACCCTCAGAAAAGAGCTGTTATAAATATTTTTGTACATAAAAATCCTTTCCCTTTTTTTTTCTCCTTCAGGATACGGATCTAGCAAACAGTTATGTGCGGTTTTCTGGTCCTTTGGGCGTAGTTCCAAATTGCTCTACAGAATGGTTGAATCAGTTTACAACTTCAACAAGTCTTATTTTTTAATCTCAAATCCCCTCAACATTTGTCATTTACCTTTTTCTATCCAATTAGCCAATATGATAGATATGAGGTAGTACCTCAGAATTGTTTTAATTTGTATTTCTCCAATCAATAGTGACTTAGAGTATTTTTTCATATGGCTGCTGATAACTTTGATTACTTCATCTGAAAACTGATTGTATTTCAATTAGGGAATGACTCTTGTTTCTATAAATTTGATTCAGTTCTCTATATGTCTGAGAAATGAGGCCTTTATCAGATAAACTTTCTTCAATTTTTTTTTCACAGTTACTATGGCTAACCATATTTCCCTTCATTCTATTCCCCACATTTATTCTATTCTCTCTCTTCTTTCACCCTGTCCCTCCTCAAAAGTGTTTTGCTTCTGATTACCTCCTCCCTGAATCTGCCCTCCCTTCTATCACTCCACCTTCTCTTATCCCTTTCCCCTCCTGCTTTCTTGTAGGGTAAGATAGATTTCTATACCCAATTGAGTGCGTATACTATTTCCTCTTTGAGCCAATTCTGATGAGAACACTCATTCCCTCTTAACTCCCCCCTTCCCCTCCACTGTAAAAGCCTTTTCTTGCCTCCTTTATATGAGATAATTTGCCCCATTACAGCCCCTCCCTTTTTCTTTCTTCCTGTACATTCCTCTCTTGCTCCTTAATTTTATTTTTTAGACATCATCTCATCATATTCAACTCACACCTGTGTCCTCTGTCTACATATACTCCTTTTAACTACACTAATAATGAGAAAGATTTTATGAGTTACAAATATCATCTTCCCATGTAGGAATGTAAACAGTTTAAACTTATTAAGTCCCTTATGCTCTTTCCTATTTACTTTTTTATGCTTTTTTTTTTAGGCAATTCAGGGTAAGTGACTTGCCCAGGGTCACACAGCTAGTAAGTGTCAAGTGTTTGGTCTGAGGCCAGATTTGAACTCAGGTTCTCCTGACTTCAGGGCCGGTGTTCTATCCACTGTGCCACCTAGCTGCCCCTATGCTTTTCCTGAGTCTTGTATTTGAAAGTCAAATTTTCTATTCAGCTCTGATCTTTTCATCAAGAATGCTTGAAAGTCCTCTATCTATTGAATATTCATTTTTTTCCCTGAAGGATTATATTCAGTTTTGCTGGGTAGGTGATTCTTGGTTGTAATCCTTGCTCCTTTGGTCCCTGGAACATCATATTCCAAGACCTCCAGTCCTTTAATGTAGAAGCTGCTAAATCTGTTGTTATCCTGACTGGCTCCACCATACTTAAATTGTTTCTTTCTGGCTGTTGCAATATTTTCTCCTTTATCTGGGAACTCTGGAATTCAGCTATAATATTCCTGGCAGTTTTCATTTTGGGATCTCTTTCAGGAGGTGATTGGTGGATTCTTTCAATTTCTATTTTACCCTCTGGTTCTAGAATATCAGGGCAGTTTTCTTTGATAATTTTTTGAAAGATGATGTCTAGGCTCTTTCTTTTGATCATGGCTTTCAGATAGTCCAATAATTTTTAAATTATCTCTCCTGGATCTATTTTCCATGTCAGTTGTTTTTCCAATGAAATATTTCACAATGTCTTCTATTTTTTCATTCTTTTGGTTTTGTTTTATTGTTTCTTGATTTCTCATAAAGTCATTAGCTCCCATTTGCTCCATTCTAATTTTTAAGGAATTATTTTCTTCAGTGAGCTTTTGGAACTCCTTTTCCATTTGGCTATTTCTGCTTTTTAAGGCATTCTTCTCCTTATTGGTTTTTTGGACCTCTTTTACCATTTGGTCCAGTCTGTTTTGAAGGTGTTATTTTCTTCAGTATTTTTTTGGGTCTCCTTTAGCAAGCTGTTGACTTTTTCCATGATTTTCTTGCATCACCCTTATTTCTCTTTCCCATTTTTCCTCTGCCTGTCTTACTTGATTTTCAAAATCCCTTTTGAACCCTTCCATGGCCTGAAACAATTCATATTTTTCTTGGAGGCTTTGGATGTAGGAGCTTTGATTTTGTTGTCTTTTTCTGACTGTGTGTTTTCATCTTCCTTATCACCATAATAACTTTCAGTAGTAAGAGGGTTTTTTTTTCTGTTGTTTGCTCATTTTCCCTGCCTATTAGTTGACCTTTAACTCTTTGTTTCTGTTTTTTATTTTTTGCCCAGGGTCACACAGCTAGTAAGTGTTAAGTGTTTGGTTTGAGGCTGGATTTGAACTCAGGTCCTCCTGACTTTAGGACCGATGTTCTATCCACTGTGCCACCTACCTGCCCCTTAACTCTTTGTTAAAGTAGGACTCTGTTTCCAAGTTGGAGTGTGCATTGTCCTAAACTTCAAGGGTTTTGTGCAGCTGTTTTCAGAGACACATCTAGGGACCTGTAAGTTTTCAGTTGTTCCAATGTGGTATGAACTAAGGAGAGATGTTTACTACTTTCTTCGCCTGTGATCTGGTCTGCAAGTGACCACAAGCACACTTTTCTGCCCTGGCACTGTGAGGAAGGTCCCTTCTCCACTGCTGCTGCAAGCTCTGCTATATTAGTGCTCCTTCTCACCCTGGGACTGCCACCCAGCACTGTGACCTAGATCTGAGTATGGGCAAAGCAGCAGAGTCCTGCTCAGTGCTAGCAAAAAGACCCCTGTAATCTCCTTCTGACCAGTTGTTCAGCCCCTTTACCATCTGTGGGCTGAGAGCTCCTGAAGTAGCCATTGCTGCTACTGTTGCAAATTCAGTCACTCCCAGGACCTGCTCCTGGTTTGCTGGGAACTGTGCTGTGCTGGCATAGCCTGTGCTACATTGTGCTCCACTCTCTCCCAGGAGCAATAGATCTTTCCTGCCAACCTTCCAAGTCATCTTTGGTGTCTGTGGACTGAGAGGTCTGGAAACCATCACTGCTGCCAGTGATTCAGTTGCCCCCAAGGCCTGCTTTGAGTCTACTGGGCCCTGGTCTATGCTGGCATGGCCTATGCTAGACTGTGTTCCTCTCTCAGCCCAGTGCCATGGACCCTTTCTGCCAACCTTCCAAGTTGTCTTGGGCTGGAAATTTGTTTCACTCTGTCTTTTTGTGAGTTCTCCTGCTCCAGAATTTGTTTACAGTCATTTTTAAAGGTATTTGGAGGGGTTTGGGGGAGAGCTCAGGTGAGTCCCTGCCTTTACTCTGCCATCCTAGCTCTGCCTCCAAATGTAATTTTCATAATGCACAGATTAGACAATGTCACTCCACTATCTACTTAATAAATTCTAGTACATCCTACTAACCTTAGGATGAAATACAAAAATTTCTGTTTGGCTCTTATAGCCCCTTTCCTACATTTTCAGTCTTTTTACACATTATATCTTCCTTGTACTCTACCATGAAACCACACTGGTGTTCTTGCTGTTCCCCTTACTTGACACCCCATCTCCTCACTTGGTGCCTTTTGACTGACTGTCCTTCATGCCTGGAAATCTCTCCTTCCTCTCTTCCATTTTCTACTTTCCCTTGTTTACTCCAAATCTCAGTTCAAATCTCACCTTCACCAATGAGTTTTTCCCAGTATCTCGATACTACTGCCTTCCCTCAGGGATTACCTGATCTTTACATTACATATTTATATAACTATCAATATTGATATACATACACAGATATATCCGTAAATGTATATGTGTGTAAATGCACATGTGTGTGTACTGTGTTCATAATTGTTTACATGTTATCTCCCCCATCAGAATGTGATCTCCTTGAGAGCAGAGAATATATTCTGTTGTTCAGTCCTGTCTGACTCTTTGTGACCCCATTTGAGGTTTTCTTGGGAGAAATACTGGAGTGGTTTTGCCATTTCCTTCTCCAGCTCATTTTGTAGATGAGGAAACTGAGGGAAGCAAGATTAAATGACTTCCTCAGGGTCACATAGCTAGTAAGTGTCTGATGCCAGATTTGAACTCATGAAGATGAATGTTGCTGATTTCATGTACAGTGCTCTATTCATGCTGCCACCTTTTACTTTATTTGTATACCCAGTACTTAGAACAATGCCTTATACGTAGTAAGCACTTAATAAATGCTGGTTTCATACAGGTGTTTCTGTTCTAATATTATAGCAATCAGGAATTATGATGAGAAAAGCGGTCTCACTAAGTTGATTGAAGAATGCATCAAGTTGATCAGGGACTCCATTGAAAAGCTCTTCCTTTCTCCTTTTACATCTGTGATTGAAATCCCATGAGTACAGAAGGGAAAGTGGGGGAGAGAACTCAGTGGAAGGAAGAGAAGATTCCACAAGTAGAATTAGGAAGTGGTGAGACTGGCAGGTGTTTCCTTTTCCTTATCCATGATCTTAGATATGTAACAGAGCTGACAGAACTAATCAAGGTCAAATCCTCACCTGATGCTCTTGGAGGAGAAGACTCAGCAGAGTTTGTGGGCTTCTTTCCAGACTTTGTGTGGACCGTGCGGGATTTCACCCTGGAGCTTGAGCTAGATGGCCACCCCATCACCTCAGATCAGTACCTGGAAAATGCCTTGAAACTCAGTAAAGGTAATTTACTAGGAATCTATATTGTGCACATGGTGGCCCTGAGCAGTATAGCAGAAATGATACCAAATGTTTTTCCTTTTCTTTGGAGCTTAGCTGTTTGTTCCTGGTGCTTATTCTTTTGAATCTCATGGACTAGAGGATTGGAGACTGAAAGCTATTATGGTTATCATGGCTTTATTCAGAGTCAGTTGATCTCTTTTTTGTAGTTCAGGATTTCCATAATCTAGTGACCTTTCCCAAAGGGGGATAGTCCCTGAGATACTGACTTTTGCCAACTTCTGTGATGGATTTGTATCGTAAGAATTTACAAAAGGACGGAGATATTTCTATGTGTCCTGCAGTTGGTTGGTGAGCATGAAAATTCAATGAAAGAGAATAACTTTATTTAAGGGTTATTCTATTAACCTCACAGCCTGAGGAATTCTTCCTCTCTACTAATAGCATAGACCTTTCTTTTCTTTTTTTTGCTTTTATTTTTTTTTTGTTTGGCAAGGCAATTGGGGTTAAATGACTTGCCCGGGGTCACACAGCTAGTAAGTATCAAGTGTTTGGTTTGAGATCAGATTTGAACTTAGGTCCTCCTGACTCTAGGGCCAGTGCTCTATCCACTGTGCCACCTAGCTGCCCCTGCATAGACCTTTTTGATAACAAAAGATAGGCATAGGCTATGAAATACAACAGAAAGGAAATGGGCATTTGTAGTCAGAGGCCCTCGGTGTAAATTTTAGCTTTGGCTGCTTACTGCCTATGGGACTTTGAGCAAGTCATTCAATGTCTCTGAGCCTCAGCTTCCTCATCTGTAAAATGAAGAGTTTGGACTCCAACATCTCTAAAAATACCCTAACTATACATTCATTAGCTAGTGAGGACAGAGGGTTTCTCCCCTGGAGAATTCTAGAGAAAGACTTGCTATATCTCTCTCAAATATATCTTGCTTGCTTGTCTTGAAGATTTCTGACTATCAGATGCTTCCATTCAACTCTGTCATTGCTCTATAGTAACCTTTCTCCTTCTAACATGCTTCATAATGTGTTATATATTTAAATGTACAAACCTCTTATTATACCCTATTTTCATTGTAGGCTAGTAACTCCTTGATGGCAGGGATACTAACGTCACTGAAAATGTCTCAAAATCATGTTTGACAATGAATCCCTTTCATTCTCATCAAAAGGCATTAATTAAACATTTCCTCTACCTGACAGACTATGCTAGGTGCTGGGCATAGGGGCATAAAAATATAATAACTCCCCTCAAAAAGATTACATGCTAGTGGGAGAAAACATGTAAAAGACAGGCAGATAAAAACATATCCAGAACAATTGTGAGGGACAAGAGAGGTAGAAAGAACTAAAGAGCTGCAGGGATCAGCAAGGACCTCTGTGGGAGGTACTGTCAGACCAGAAGCCTGCAGGGAGCTACAGGTTCCAAAAAGAAAAGGCAACAGGGAGAAGAGTCCTGCATACATGAAAACTTCAATAAAGCAATCCCCAGTCTTGGGCATCTTCATCAACCCCTTGTATTACTCCTGTATCTTGTCATGATCTTTGTTTTCCTGTCCCTCAGGTAAGAACCTCAAAGTTGCAGCAGCCAACCTTCCACGAGAGTGCATCAGAAAATTCTTTCCAAAACGGAAGTGTTTCACCTTTGACCGTCCAACAAATAAGAAGTCACTCTTAGCGCATCTTGAAGATGTCCATGAAAGCCAGCTGGAGCCTGCATTCAAGGATCAGGCAGACAACTTCTGCTCTTACATCTTTTCCAATGCAAAACCCAAGACCCTTAGGGGCGGCATTGTGGTTAATGGGAATCGTGAGTTTCCTTTGCCCCACTGCATATTTGATTGAGATTGGATATGTGTTCCTTATTTCTTTGTATTTGTACAGATATTGTAAACTTTTTATATTATTCTCCCTGTAAGCATGGGTTTCTATGTTCATTTCCCTGTCTTTCAGTTTATAAATCCCCAGAAATATACACTCTGAGACAGTCAATGTTCTTTGATGGAGATTAAATATCCATTAGAGACTAGCCACAAGAGTAGAGAAAAGCAATTCCCTTAATTTTCCAAAGGAGAATCAAGTAGAGTTAATAAACTATAAACCAGTGACTTTGACTTGTATTTCTGGCATATCATTAAGAGGATGGTTTGTGAGCACAAAGAACAGGAATCAGTGGTCACTGAAATCCATCAGATTAAGCAAATTTCCTTGTTAGACACCGTAACTGGACTGAGGTAGATCAGAGGAATAGTGTCAAATTACCATAGTTAGATTTCAAGAGGATATTTAACAGTGTGTCATGCTATGATTATGAACAAGATAGAAATATAGATGATAATACTGTTAGGTAGATTCAGAACATATTGAAAGACCAGACCCCCAAAATAGCCCTTAAAAGCTTAAAGTCAAATTGAAGGGAAGTCTATAATGCCATGCTTCAGAGCTTTAAAACTTTTTCAATAACATCGACAAAGTTATAGAACATGTGAATGGAATCCAATGTACAGATGGCATGGAACTTATAACATACAGCAAGTGAAAGAAATAAGATACAGCGTTATCCTGGCAGGCTAAATCAATGACTCTAAATGGATAATGGAAACATAGAATAAATTCAAAGTTCTCCATTTGGGTATAAAAATCTACTTAAGGAGAGGTTAAGAGAGATAAGGATAAACAACAGTTCTTGGGGAAAAGATCTGGAGAATTTCTTGAATTACAAGTTCAATATGAGTCAGTAGTCTCAAATGTAAAATTATTCAAGATTTCCTTGTTGAGAATAGGTGAAGTAACTCTTCTCTTTGCTTTATTTAGCTCCAGTTAGACAACATATGGTATTCTGTGTTCAGTTCTGGGCATAACACTTTAGGAAAGATATAGACAAGGTCAAACATTGCCAGAACAAGACAACTAGAATCAGTGAAAGGACAGAAGTTCACACAAGAATGAGTCCTTGGAAGAATGCTTAGATTTACTATCCTTGATCCTACAGGTGAAAATTAGGAGAAATAAAAAGAATTTGCCAAGAGGTATATTTAGGTGTGATTAAATAACTGAGACTTCCTAATCTTTTAAATTGTTAAAAAGGAGAAGAGGCTGTCTTGACTCATCATATTCTTTTCTTAAGTCAAAATTAGCTAATAGTGATTGGCTATAATGGCTAACAATATTGTCAGAGATTTTTGGCCAGGCATGGGTTCTACTAGATAACAATGCTTGGACCAAATTGAAAGAAGGTTGCTTTCTGCCTCATCTTCCATTCCATCTTGTCTACCAGGGTTGGGAAAGCTGCTGGAGACCTATGTGAAGACAATCTCTAGTGGAGCCATTCCCTGCCTGGAGAATGCAGTGCTGGCATTGGCTGAGACTGAGAATCCCGCTGCCATTCAAAAAGCTACCAACCATTACGTAGAGCAGATGGTGCTGAAGGTGGACTTCCCCACAGAAACCCTCCAGGACCTGCTAAACCTGCATACAGACTGTGAGAAAGAAGCCATCTCAATTTTCATGAAGCATTCTTTCAAGGATGACACACACAAGTTCCAGAAAGAACTGGTGGTATGTTCTCTCAGCTATTTATCCTTCCTCTTAGCTCTCTTTTCTGAGTGATACCTAGAGACTGGTCAGACTCTTTTTTTACCTTGGGGTCTGTATTCCCAGCTCATGAGAGAAGAGCCTGATCTCTCTAGAGAGCTAGAGGCATGAAGGCCTGAATCTCACTTGTCATGAAAAGATGCTCACTTGGTAAATAGATGTTATCATGGCTCTCTCAGAGCACACTGCACTTTTTCTCAAACTCACAGACTCACTCATCTCTATATACCTTCCCACCCCAAGCACCCTCAGATTCCTTCTAGGAGCATCTCCTGCCAGTTCAAATGTCTTTTCAGTCTTACTTAATGTTGTAGCACTCAGTTGGATTTGCCCAAAAGGGAGAACCATTATTATAGGCTTCAGGACTGGTAGGGATGTGGAGGATCATTTGATATAATCACCTCATTTGGAGAGTGAGGGCTTCTGGTTGCAGAGAAGATAGGTGACTTCTCTATGATGACCGAGTTATAGAGTAGGAGATTTAAAACCAGGCCCCACGTCTCCCAGTTCCCAGGTCAGGGTTTGGGTTTTATTCTACTCCACTATACATCTTCCCCCCGCAAAAAAACAAAAGCAGGTAGACCTTCTCTCAACAGTTTCTTTAGACTCTCATTCACTCCACAATGAAATAGGGCAAGTAAAACATTTTGATAGCCTTTGAGGCATTATGTCAAGCATCATTTGTTATTATTACTGCTGTTACATCTCTTCCTTTCCCATGATTGTCTTTCTCTCTCTATATTTCACTGGCAGCAAATCTTAGAATCCAAGAAGGATGATTTCATCCATCAAAATGAGGAAGAATCAACCAAATATTGTCAAACTAAGCTTGAGGACCTCTCTCAGACCCTTACGGAAGCCATTTCTCAAGGCACCTTCTCTGTGCCAGGGGGTTACAGGCTCTACAGGAAAGAAAGAGAAAAAATGATGAACAATTACCATCAAGTTCCCAGGAAAGGGGTAAAGGTGAGCAAAGACCTAGAGGCCAGCAGTGGTGACAGTGCAAGGAGGGTTCCATTGATCCCACTGGGTGTTTGAGCACTGACTTTCTCCTACCAATAATCACCCAAGAGGAGAATGTCTAGACACTGTTGGCTTTTTAGTTCACATCTCAGCTAGAAGTTCTTGACGGAAATCTCTTCTTCCTGCCTAGAGAATATGCTTTGGAATTTAGGAAGCTAAGTCATATAAGGGCCATAACAGAGCAGGCCTGATGCAGGCTGGCCTAGTACCTCAGGTTCAAGCTTGGAGTGAAATGAGATGCTCATAGCTGAACCTCTTTGTGGCCTGGCCTTTTGGTACACACTGACAAGTAGTCATATCAATAGTCTCCTGAGTCAATCATGTTCCCAAAATGTGTTCAATATCTTTTAAGGAAAAGAATATTCCAGCCCAGGGGGAGGGAACCTTTTCATGTCATTAATTTAACTGTAATCAAATAAGGCTGCATTCAAGAAACTTCATTTACACATTCTTTATAAATGTACATTACATTGTAAAAATCTAACTACTCTGTACTTAATAGTTTCAAAAAATGAAAACTATTTGTTATTATTTTTTTTTTTTGGTGAGGCAATTGCAGTTAAGTGACTTGCCCAGAGTCACACAGCTAGTACGTATTATGCTCGTCTGAAACCAGACTTGAACTCAGGCCCTCCTGGCTTCAGGGCTGATGCTCTATCCACTGCACCACCTAGCTTCCCCTACCATTTGTTCATTTTAAAGTTAAGTAACGTCATGTGTGACCTCAAGGCTGCAGGTTCCCCCCCCCCCCCCAGTTCTAGCCTAATTGCTCCCACCACAGAGGGTTTGCCCTTCTCAGCATCTGACATGGTCTGGGGAAAATGCTGTGTGCCTGTCTTGTGTGTTTGTCCAGGCAGATGAGGTCCTCCAAAGGTTTCTACAGTCACTTGCAATGACAGAAGAATCCATCCTGCAGACAGATCAAGCCCTCACTGAACAAGAGAAGGCCATGGAAGGTAGAGGGGGATGGAGTATGATGACCTAGTCATGCAGGGATTTGGTGGGTTTGGAACAAAATTTCCCTAAGGCCCTCAGTGTGACATGAAGATGTTCCTGAAATACTTGGGATTCCTTCTTCTCTACTGTCCCAGTCCCTGCTGGATTTGTAACAGCAACTGTGATCATGACTGTAAAATCCAGCAGGTCATAAAGTGCTACTCCCCCAGACATTCTCAACTCTGCCTTTCTGGGACTAATGAAGAAAAGAGAAATGTAAACATTTCCAGTCTCTTTTTCATAGTCAGTTTGGGTTTTGAGTTCAGGAGAAACTGCATGTGTCACCCCCATGCTCAGTGACTTGGTGGCAGGTAAAAGACGAAATGACTAAGGAAACAAAGGTTCAATCTTCTGAGCAAATAGATTTATTAAGCAACACATCAAAATTTCCCCACCTACTGGGACCAGGCCCTTTCTTCAGCTTTGGCACTGGACCCCACATACAAAAAGACAGCTTTTATACATTAAAAATAATTAATCAAGTAAGACTAATTAATTAAACAGAAACAATAAACAATAGGCGATTTGGTTTCTAATTGGATGAAAGATTAGGTACTCTCCAAGTTGAGAGACAGTGAACAGATGAAATTGCCAGAAATCAGAAAAGGAAGTGCCCCACTTCTTCCCTAGTGTCGGTATATAATCAAAACAACATGGAAACAATAACTGATTGATCAGTAAAGGGGTATTTTTCAGATAAAAAATATAGGTAGCTTAAGATACATAATGGTGAGAAAATTCCTTGCATCAATCAGTAGGATCTCACTGAGTTTCTGGTCAGTATAACGTAGACCCTTGGTCAAGGGTCTCTAAATAGGAAGTAGAGGTGGTCCAGCTTTGTAGTCATGCACTGCTAGGTTCAAATAATGTAATTATCCCCATAATGCAGTAAAGTTTTCTCACAAGACAGAATTTGGACTAGACCCATAATTGAGTAGAAATGGAACTGAGCAGCTCCAGAATTAAGGCACAAGATACAGTCAGTGAGGCTCACTCAACTTCCACAATCAAGCACTTGTTCTCCTCATCCCCTCAATTTCCTCAGCCTCCAATGAGTCCCTGTTACTTTCAGGATCATGTATGAATCCCTCCATGGAACATTTAGAGCCCTTCATAAATTGGCCCTTTCCTACCTTTACTGTTTCTTATACTTTACTGCCCTCCCTGCATGCTGTGTTTCAGCAACACTGACTTACTTGCAGTTCCCCAGACACAACAAGCCATCTCTGATCTCCAGGCCTTTCCACTAGCTGTCCCCTCTGCCATTAATGCTCTGCTTCATACCTCCTACCTCTGCTAAAATCTCACCTTCTTCAAAAGGCCTTTCCTGTCCTTCAAGAGTTAACATGCCTTCCTGCCCTCAAGGAGCTGATATTCTAAGGGAATAAAAAGAATCCAAATAATTATGTAGATTCTAGAAATATAAGAATGAATAGGAGGCAAGTGAATGAGGAAGGCAGGATCCAGATATTGAGAGAACAGGAAATGATTCTAGACCATAAACTAAAGGTACATGGAGATTGGGATCAATGGTCATGCTTAGGAAGCAACCCCAGCACCATGGCAGGAAGGGGATGGGCAGATGGACAGGGAAGGCAAATTTGCCTTCATGTGGTCAACATGGTGGGAAGGCAAATTTGCCTTCATGTGGTCAACATGGTGGAAAGCAAAGGGCCCTGGACTTCTCATCAGAAGATCTCGGTTTGAGCCTTTTCCTCCTCCTCAATTTTCTCACCTCTAACATAAGGTCAATCACATCTGCCTCACCAAGTGCACAGAATAGTTGTACAGATCACACATGATTTGTGTGTCACTCATAGAGCATCCCCCCAGTTCTCACAGTGACCTGCCCAGGCAAGTCTACTCCACTTCCAAGTTCTTCTCCAGGTCCTCACCCTATGAGACTCAAAGTTCACAAGCCCCTATCAAAGTCTGTGTTTCTCTAGTCAACCAAAGACACAATTAGTTTAAAGCAAAACCTCAATGCCCAGAGACTTTTCTGCTGCCTCTCTTTTATACCAGGCAGACAACTTAACATATAATCATCAGTCTAGAGGACATCCTTCAGTGGTTTTTCTCCCATAGGAAATCCATGAATTTCTCTGAGCCTCAATGGAATGGGCCTTTTTCCAGAAGGAGATTCCAGAACCCACGAACCAAGCTCTTTGGAACAAAGATCCAGGCCCATCCCAAATAACTTGTACATTCAGACTTAAGGGTATTTTGAATTCTATTTCCTGGTCAGCCATCTCTGGCATTATCTCTGCCAGGATCCTCTCTGTCTTGAGGTCAGAAAGTCCTGGCTTTACTTCCATTGCTAAACTTGTCTCAGATAGCATCTGCTAAGGGATGCCCTTTCTGAACACTGTAGAGGGCTAAATTCAAGGCCCCCAAGTATGTTGATCCCCAAATCCTTGGTTCTTTCTTGCAAATGTAAGAAAGAGTGAACTGGTCCTGTGACCTCAGTGATTGAAATAACTACAGTGAGAAGATTTCCCCTATCAGTACAGTCAGCACCACCCTGTCTGTACGCATCATCCTAGAGAATGTCTGGGGGCACTGAGGAGGGTCAATGACTTGTCCTGGGTCACACAGCCAGGATGTGTCAGAGGTAGCACTTGAATCCAGGTCTTGCTGACTCTAAGGCTGTCAACAGGACCATGCTGCCTCATACAAAGGAGAGGAGGCCAAGAAAGACACAGGAGCAAAAGCGAGCCCAGGGGACAAGGCCATTGCGTGCTGCACCCAGCCACTCTCCTGGCCCTTTGTACATAACTGTGGTAGGAAAAAGCTTCCATAACATCTGTTTTTAAAAAGGCTTAAAAAGCACAAAGTGCCATGAACCTTTCGGGTCCTGTGATTAGTACTTCTGACACCATAGCACATAGAGGGAAACCTCAGAGGGGACTGGATTGGATCTGTCTCCCCCCACCTGCTTCTGACTGAAGCCCCTGAATTCACATCAAAGCTTCTCTGTCCTCAACAAAGACCCTACAACAATCCAAGCTGCTGTGGAGTCATCTGTAATCCTAAGAACCATGGACAATGGAAGCTAATTCCAGAGTCCTCTGGGGTTTGGGGCTGCTAGGATGATGCCAAGTATCCCAGACTGAGTCAATTGTATCCTCCTACCTGAGCCCACAACTGCTGGGTCCTGGGGCCAGAGCATATCCAGTGGCTCACCTGGTTCTCTTAGGACCATTATCAGTAAGCCCCTACCCACAGGGCCATGGGGTAGAGGAGGCCCTGCCTAAACTCTTGGAATGGGGCCAGAGCCAGCCCAGGCTAGTAATAGAGACAGCAGATGTAGATTCACGTTTGTTTCAGTGTTGATCAGAGGGCCAAGCCACTTTGAAGCTGACTTGAGCCCATTCTAAGTCACTCTCTGTATAGTATTTTATGCCCTTTTTAAAACATGTGGATATCTGAGTCACTTGATTATGAATTGAGAATTGAGAATAATGTTGAAGATATATGACTTTGATGTTTACAAAGCAAACATTATCTCATTTTTATCCTCACTATAATCTGGGGAATTGCTATTATTGATTAAGGAACATGACTCCAATCTCAGCTACTAAGTGCCAGAGGCAGGATTCCAACTCAGATCTTCCTGACTCCAAGGCAAGCACTGTACAACCTAGCTTCCGCCTTTTAGGACCATGATTCCAAATCAATTGGCCTTGTATTCAACTGTTACAGATGTCTTCGTTGGCCCTAAGGTCCGGCTTCTTGTCTCGAGTAATGGACAAGTAATGAGTCATTACAGAGAAGGCCTGACCTTCGATGATTTTTCTCACTGCCCAGGAATGTCCCTTGAAGAGAAATCCTCTGTGCCATTTCCCCTCTTCTAATCTACTTAGGGCTCACACCTTATGCAGGAGAAACACATAGAGCTGCCTGGTTCTTGGTGGAACAAGGACTAACCAATGTGCAATGCTGATGTGCTTTTGTCTTCTCTTAGGAACAAAAGAAGCTGATGGAGGAAGGGTTTAATGAGAAAGCTGAAGAAATGAAGAAAGAGATGGAGGACTTACAAACAAAGATTAAGGATGATAAGAGTGACAAGTCCTCTTGGTGGTCCCCAGTTTTAGATACTGTTGGCACCGCATTGATGGTCATGTTACCTGGTGCAGGAAAACTCATTGGTTTGGGGGTAAAGGCATTGGGCCATCTCTGAAATAATCAAATGGGTTTCAGTTTCTCAAAAGAAAGTTGTACAATATAGTTGTCTCACTTAAAAAGAAAATGGCACTGAGACCTCTCTATACATGAGTGTGAGTACATATGTGTGTGTTTGTTTCCTGCTTCTAATTTACCTAGGTATTAAAAAGCAAAGCTGATGCTCACCATAGAAGATAAAGGACATGGGAGAAAATTCACACCAAGAGCATCAATTTCCTCAGTGTTAGTGAGATGAGGCTTCACTCCCATAAGAGAAAGCCTTCTTTTCTTTAAAGCAATTGGTCTAGAAGGCAGAAAGCTAGAGTTCTCCCCTTCCTTTTCATGGTTCAGAGGATTCAGAGCTAGAAGGAGCCTGGACAGTCATGGAATCTAACTGCCTCATTTTCCATGTGGCTTCTTGGTGGCACAATGGGTGGGGCACGACTTGAGGTCAAGAAGACCTGAGTTCAAATCCGGTGTGAGACACAGGCTGTAGGACCCTAAGTAAGTCACTGAATCTTTCTGTATCTCAGCTTCCTCATACATAAAATAGGGGTAATAATAAGATCTATTTCACAGGCTTTTTGTGAGAGTCAAATGAGTAAAGCTCTTTGGAAACCTTAATGTGCTATATAAATGCTAGCTATTAATATTACGAAATGCTGAACCCCAGAGATTTGACCAAAGTCTCACAGAAGATAAGACTTAAACTGAGGCCTCTTGACTCCACATATGTTCTGACAACCATGGAGGACAAGTCCCTTGACCTCTCTTTAGAGACAACCTGTAAATTTGTCCCTGTGCTTCTTCAGATTTTTAAAAGTTCAAGTAGAATGGTTCCTGATTTCAGAACCCCCAATTATACTTTGAAGTAGAAATATTCATGTATGAGCAATAGAAAGTGTTTTGAGCTTGCAGTCAGAAGAACTGAGCTCAAATACCTTTACTGCTTATTATTTACTTGGATAAATCACTTAACTTTCCCCAGACTCAGTTTCCTTCTCTGTAAAATAAGCAGGTGGAGTTAGATGATCTTTCGGGTCCCTTCCAGCTCTAAATCTCATTTCTTTTAGGTGGGTATTAGGGTTACCAAAATTCCCTCTCAACTCTCGTCCAGAAGGTGCCTAACATATTGTGTTTCCTAGTCCTATAAACTGACTTTGTGAATTGTGCCCTTATAATCTACAAGCAAAGAGAGCTCTCTCTTAACTAATAAATGAAAAAGTGTGTATAATTATATACTTCATGACAAGTCTGAATATGATTCTTTGCAACCCAGAGGTTCCCAAACTTCCTCAGCTCACAGAACCCTTAGTGTCTCAGTGTTTTTTTATAACACCCCTGGGACAGAAGAAATACTTAATAGTTCTGTTCATTAAATACCGTAACAAGTATTGATGTCCTAACAATTCAGTAGCCATTTAAAATTTTTATACATATAAATAGAAAGAATTTTTAGAAATTGCATTTTTTTTTGTTATTGTTCAGTCATTTTCAGTCATGGCTGACTCTTTGTGAACCCATTTGGGGTTTCCTTGGCAAAGATATTGAAGCGGTTTGCCATTTTGTTCTCCAGCTCATTTGAGAGATGAAGAAACTGAGGCAAAAAAGGCTAAGTGACTGGCCCAGGGTCACACAGCTAGTAGGTGTCTGAGGCCGGATTTGAATTCAAGTCTTCCTGACTCTAGGTTCTATGCTCTATCTACTGAGCCGCATAGCTGCCCACATTTCATTCTTAAATAACCACAATTACTAATGGGATGTGTGCGTGTCTATTGGGCATAACACAACTTCTCAAACTTGGAATCCAGTTGGACACTATACCCACCCACCCCCATTTCCTGTTCCAAGGTGCTTTTTGCTCAGTGCTTGCTTTCTAACCCTACAACTGCCAAAAACCCAGTTTCACCGAGTCATGGAGATGTAAATTAGAATTTACTATCCTAGCCAAAAGCGCAAGTGAACAGACTGATCTCAAACATTCCAAAATGTTGATGAAAGGAATGTTGTGTGATCTAATGCTAAATCTGTGAGCTATCTCTAGACAGTAGTTAGCCTGGTAGCAGACAGCTATGGACTAGCTCTGTATTTCCCTTGAAAATTCAAACATCACGTGATGTCCCAGTGAATTTTCTAGATTCCTGGAGAGCCTCACCATGCTGTCTGAGAATCACTTCTAGTTTAGCCTTCTGAATCTAAGAGTATACAATGTGATTCATTTTCCACGATACCCCTACTGCTAATTGAAGACACTGATTCTGTCCCCTTTGGCCTTCTCTCTTCCAAGCTAAACTATCCTCATTTCCTTCATTCTACATCTTTCAGTCTAATGGTTGTGCCCTTGAAGGTCTCTTTTACTTTTCTTCTTTTCAAAATAAAACTTCCTTCTGTGATACTGTGAACTGTGTCTTTATATGGGTCAGATATAGAGCCCCTACATGTTTTACATATCAAATGTGTGAAAAGCATAAAATATGAAAATGAGTTCCCATGTGTATTTGAAGAGTCAAAGGTGTGAGCGTGCAGAGAGCCCTCTGGTTTCCAACGTGATCAATGGCTTGGATGATGTCTTCCCCCTCTAATATGTGCACACATGTGAAAGGGTTACTCATGTAAAATAACAATGATGGTGCTGGGTAAAGCCTCACTTCTCAGTAGAGATAGTATCAGAAGGAAATAGTATTTGTTGTTAGAAACCCTTCAGGCACCAGGGAAAAGCTAAAAGATGCCCCCAGCTTTAGCCATCTCAAAGCCTCAGTGATCTGTAGCCCCAGGACCTCAAAAGTAAACCAGCAGAAAGCTCCAACCATTTCAATATTCAGTTCCTTAGGATTCATTTCACCTGGGCTTTTATCTCTGCAGGTGCTTTGGACTTATTAGATCTAAGGGATAAAGATGGTCCCCAGGCTTTTTCTCTGGTCAAAATAGATTCAAGGACCTCTCCCACCAGACCTCACCTTCTGATGAATGGGTTCAGTATTTCCTGTGTCTCCAAAGGGAAAATTTCACTGTTCTCTCACCACCAACTTGAGCCAGAAAATAAAATACTTTAACTCAAGTAGATTTCAAGTGACACTGTTTTATATCAGAAGAATGAAAAGACAAAACAACTCAAAGGGGAAACAGTAAGAGAACAAAGTGTAGGTACTGGCCAATCTAGCAGCCCAGGAGAAACAAATAGCTTGTCTCTCTACTTTTCCTTTCCCCTCCTCTCCCTTGCGCAAAAGGAACCGGGAGGTAATTGCCCCATGTTTCATCTGGGCTCTGAGTTAAGTTTTGTCTAATAGGCAGAGGAAAGAAGCAATCAGTCCAGCAGCTTAGTCTCACTTGACAGACCAATCAGATTCCAACAGCCTCTGTCTCATTCTTGATGCTCTCATTATCCATCATCCCCGGTG